AATTTTGCGCGTTGACAGTTCGACTGTCTTGCTCTATCTTTTCTACTGGCTGCCCTTCTTCCGAGGTCTGAATGCACTGTTTGCCAGGCCAGGAGGCAGAGAACTTGGAACAAAGAAATAACTTGATGAGAGAGAGAAATGATTAACTGGAGGGAGACATAAGGTGCTATCAATTTGTAAGGTCGGCAAAGGCAGTGTCTGTCGAAAACAAGAATAGTTATTACAGTGTTATCGAGCAAAATTTGTTTTAGCACGCAGCTTCCCACTTGTATGCGGCAAATTGTCTCTCGATTACCTGGAAAAGCCTTGTGGGAACTTTGATGGTTCATATTTGTCATTATCCTTCGATGGCGCAGTGGTGCAGTGTACATAAGCATGCACAGCTAGCATTATCTACGTCACTTCATCGTTTGAGAGAGAACGAGAGAGCTTCAAAATGAGTGAAAAGAGCAGACGACGGGACAGTGAATACTTACCTTCCGTAGGAACCTGATTTTTCCGAATGTTGTGGCGTTTCCCATTAAATCTCTTATGCAGGCTGTATACGTGTTTAAGTCTGAATATCCTTTTGAGTTGCTCCAAATCCAGAGGCATATTGCCAAATCGACACCACGAGTAGGCAAAACAATTTCAGCGAGATAAGCCTGCAACAACACTCGTCTGCGACAGAGTTAACAGTGTGAGATTAATCAAATTGAGCACACGATTGCAATTCTCGGAAAGTGCGATCCGAACATGAATTTCTGAACGTCTATTGGTTTTGAAATAAGGAAAAACGGACGCAGTCGTGTAAGTCTCTCGAATAAAAACGCACTAATGATCAAGCATCTGGAAAAGTGGGGCATGTTTTTGTTCAGGCGCCAAACAGAAATAGTGTGAGATAAGCGAGACGACAGAATGGTACCGCACGGGAATGAACACGAGTCTGTTTATCACTGCCTACATGGTAGAATAGGGCTGGAGTATAATTTTGAGGCATGGGGAAAAACATTGGAAATTTACCCAGCTTTGGACTCCGCCTTGTGCTCAATAATTTCCTCAGGAGTGGGATGTTAGTGAACAAGTCTTACTAGAGTGTAAATTAGCATCAATCTCATTGATGCTTGTTCCTCCAGAGGTTTTTAGATGGACTACTTCATTCAACGACCTAACCTTTCGTTTTCTTCAGGGGCCTGGTTTATTCGGTTGATATAGGTGTGCCCTCAATTTATTTTGTTAATATTGCAGAGTAATGATGCGGTGGCTTTAGCAATGAAGAAACCGGGAGTTCTATGATTATTTCGAGCCCTGCTCTCCTGGAGCCCTCTTTGACTTACTGTTGTCGAAAGACAGGTAAGACAGGTATGCTACTGACATGTAGTGCTCCGTTGTCCGTTCCGTGGAAGCTATTTGGTATGCGGAACTCATAGTCAGCGAAACCTAGAAAAGGCCGAATATGTTTGTAAAAACAGTTCTTGAATAAAAAGAGATGTGTCTGTTCTTTCTGTGCCTTCATATAGAGTGGACTTAAGCAAAGAGGGAGCCCCCTTAGTGGGCAAACGGCCAAGGCGGGGTGGCGACAAGTGGTTGGCCAAGTATGTGCCGTTTTGAAGATAAAACCCCAAATCGCCCCTGTTCATACCAACTGACCATTCTCCTCTCCAAGTAGGGTGAACAGCTCGTCTGGGGTATGAGGACAGCGGTTGCTTCATCAGCTGACCCGTAACTGATTGTATGGGCCATATCTCAACAAATAAGAGGCCACTGATCGGAAGCAATATGCGTGCCGCCCTCCAAACAAGATTCGCATGATGTCCATCCAATTGAATCACCGGCTCTAGCATGTATTTATACTCGCACTGCGACTGTAAGTCTCGGGAAACTCGCGTGCACGTTGTACTACTATTCCCTTTTACTGTGTCAGCAATGCGTTCAATCATTCCTGCAGCGTGTAAGTGTTGTCTAAAGACGCATGAATTCCCTGAGCGTCTCCTTCCTAGCGGAAGGGTCTCCTTCCTAGCGGAAGGTTCATACATTGCAGCTTTTATTGTACAGGTAAATGTCTAATACTGGTGACATGTTCATTAGGTTTAGGAAGAGTCTACAATTCGCATGTCAGCGCAAAGGGGACGGCGGAGTCCAAGAAGGGAGCACCGTCTTCTAGTGGTACTCCTGAATGCTTTGCAGGGTTTGCTTTTCCCTCCTACTATCTTCTTTTTTGGGCTTTCCATCTTGACGGACTTGCTACTTATATACATGCAGCTGTAGCAGTTCCGTTGAAGGACTGCCACACGGAATGGGTAATCACTACGTTGGCTGGGTATTCAGTGATGCAAGCTTCGAGTTATGTTGGATGGCTGTCACTTTACATTACATGCTTTGCCATTTCACTCCATTCCA